AAGAATTGACCAATCACAATCGAATTTGAGGAGAATAATCGACTGTGATTGGTCAATTCTTGCGACTCACGATTTTGCGACTCCCATTGTAGACCCCGCATTAATGGCGGCTTTGTCCCATCCCTCATTAGGGCCGGTATTCATAGTCGGATCTTATTTCAAGACCGTCTTAAGTAATATCTTAAGATGCTAATACGGCTCTGTGATTGGTTAATGACATCTGAAGATTGTACTTAAGATGGTCTTAAACATAAGAACCGACTATGAATACCGGCCTAGAGGATCCCTATTTTGTGTTTCCTTCGTTTAACATGGAGCTTGCTCTTCTCATTATATATGTTCTATGGCAGGAGCCAATAACCAAAAAGGAAGGAAGGAAGGTGTAGACGATTTGATTGCGAGATAACGTGATTTTGTTTAGAAAATACAAAAAGAGGCCTTTAAATAATTGATGTGATAAATAGATAACATTTAGATCGTATATCGATACATGAAACTATGCTTGCGCTAAAAGATTATGGTAGCAGCGACGAAAATAGTGAGACGGAAAATGTCGACTTCACGTCCATATTTCCCAGTGACAAATTCATTCCCAGTGGAAATTCCAATTTCCAAATTTGCTCGGCTCCAGAAGTCGTACCTACTGTGAGTATTTACGTGCGTTCAGCCTGTTTTCAATTACCATTTTTGAGGTTATAATATAATCTTATTATTAAACAATACCGTGAACTTGACCGATCTGTGAATAATACGAATAGATAGAAATATGCCTTATACTCGGACTGGATACCTTTATACCTATGTAAATCCTATTATTGCTACTTTACAAATGTCTATTTTGATGGAAAAAAATAACATTTTATTTACAACAATGATTATTTAGGGAACAGAATTGTGTGTAAAACACATAGATCCAACTGCAATGGAAGTTACACATAATCCAAGGTATGAGGAACTTTTTGGACCCGAGGTAGGACCTGAAAATCCATTCAAGACGCAGCAGCAGCGTGCAGTGAAAAATATGCTATCTGGATATGTGGAAAGTGCGCATATAAGTGAATTTCAGTTTGAAAATCAAAGGAGAACATTTGCCAGTTATGGTACGCATAATAACAAAATTATATTTAATATATATAGTTGATTACTCTTCTATCTTATTAAAATCTTGAATCTTGAAACCATTTTTAACTTATATCTTCACTTTAATACTCCAACAAAATGCTTATTTATATCTGATTATCTGAAATATTTGAGCCTAAATAAAAATAAAAATTTATTTAATATCTAAAATTTAATTAATGTCAAAATTTTTGTTATCAGGATATGCACTAGATCCAACTGTAGATGGTAGTGCGGATGAAGGTAGAGTTATGATCGGTGCAACGGAAGCGGCAGAAGAAGCGGGCGGCAAGACCGTTTTTGAAAATACCACCTTGAGACCCTCAGACAAACGAAAGAGGCACAGAAACAACGATCCATCAGATATAGAAGGTTTTTTGGGTCCTTGGGGTGGTTACATTGATGAAAAACGAGTTATCAAGCCAAGCGAAGATGAAGCCGCTGAATTAGAAGAAATCTTAGCCAAACGAAATAAACGAGGAAAGCAGACAGAGGAGAAACCACTCGAGGAGAAGACCATATTACATAGTAATGTGCCCATATATATTATCAACATATATTGTAAATACATAAATTAGTAACAAAGTTGCTTTTTATATAGAATAGTTTTTAGAATTTCATCATTATGTAAATTAATTCAAACTTAAACTAAATTTATTAAGATAACATTTTTAACATGAGTATTGTCTTGAAATTTACTTCATAACATTTAATAATTTTAAATTGCAGTTAAAGACAGTGTGGACTATCAGGGACGCTCATTCTTGCACGCGCCTCAGGATGTAGGTGTGAATCTCAGATCGGAATCACCACCCGATCGTTGCTTTTTACCAAAGGCGCAAATTCACACGTGGGAAGGCCACACCAAAGGCATTTCGCAAATCCGATGGTTTCCACGTACAGCGCATTTATTACTGTCCTGTAGTATGGATTGTCGAGTGAAGGTATTTGACATGACGATATTTTAATTTGATATGTTAACGTATACAAATACTATGTTATATTAATATGTCTTATTATGTAGTTGTGGGAAGTATACAAAGACAGGAGATGCGTTCGTACATACTATGGACATCGACAAGCGGTACGGGACATAAGTTTTGACAATGACGGCAAGCGATTTTTATCAGCGGCTTACGATCGATACGTGAAACTTTGGGACACAGAAACAGGAACTTGTATCAGTCGCTTCACGAGTAGAAAGATCCCATATTGTGCCAAGTTTAATCCTGATCCAGATAAACAGCACCTCTTTGTAGCTGGTACCAGTGATAAAAAGATCATTTGCGTAAGTAAAAAAAAATATTTTTTTACTTATCGAAAACGATGTGATTTAAGATCATTGTTGTTTTCGATCAAGATTTTGATAATACAGACACACAAAAATGACCTCATTCGTAACAGTAAACATGCAACAATAAATGTAAAAATAAAGTATAATAATTAACGTCTTCAATTAAATATTATAATTTAATATTCTGTTACAGTGGGATATACGTTCTGGTGAAATAACACAAGAATATGATAGACACTTAGGAGCTGTGAATACCATCACGTTTGTCGACGAAAATAGACGATTCGTCACAACCAGTGACGATAAAAGTCTTCGGGTTTGGGAATGGTATGAATTCTCCATTAATTCCATTAATTCTCGTAAAGGTTATTTCTGGAAAAATGAGATTAATTTGTTATTAAAGATAAATTATTTTTTTATGTATAGGGACATTCCTGTGGATATGAAATACATAGCTGATCCATCCATGCATTCTATGCCGGCGGTAACGCCGTCACGAAATCAGAAATGGCTCGCTTGCCAAAGCATGGATAACAAAATTGTTATATTTTCGGCGTTAAATAGATTCAAAATGAATCGAAAGAAGACGTTCACGGGGCATATGGTCGCAGGATATGCGTGCGGTTTAGACTTCTCGCCAGATATGAGGTAATATATAAAAAAAATGCGTTTCTTAGTAAAATATAATCTTTAAAATCTTGATTATTTTTATAGAAAATGATCAATCTTTCGGTAAAGTATTATATTTGTTCTTATTTCAGTTACTTGGTATCGGGCGATGCAGATGGTAAGTGCTACATATGGGACTGGAAAACAACAAAGTTATACAAAAAGTGGAAGGCGCACGACGGGGTGTGCATTGACGTATTATGGCATCCTCATGAGCCTTCTCGACTCGCTACTGCTGGCTGGGACGGCAAGATCAAGTACTGGGACTAAAACAATTCCCAACAAGCCGTAAGCCACAGACATCCTTGTTGACAACAGACATATTTTGTATATTTGTAAATAATAAATACTGATAATTAAAAGAAAATAAGATTTTTAAACACTAATTGTCATTGATAATGCACATTGATAATGAATGTATGACAATGTATGAATGCTTTTATATTATAGACTATATATAAATAATCAAATGATTTTAATTAAATAAAATCTCTCTATTTCTCAATCCTTTGATTACTTTCTCGCTAATACCTTATCCAATCGAATATATCATCGGTGAATGTGTATATGTATAATCAAGTTTGATTGTTCGGTAGAACACTCGTCATTGCTATACAATTGCGACGATACATACGTGGCACGCATAACGCATATAATACTATTGAATTCTGTTATCTGGCGACACGAATATACCCACCATTATTTAACATATACTACGTTTACGCGCGAGCGTTACTTCTGTAGTAACTTACGATATGTCACTCGTTTACGCGGAGTAAATTATCGTAAGTTACTACAAAATCCCATTTACGCGAAGGAAAATCCCGTTTACGCGAAGGAATTATCGTAAGTTACTACAGAAGAAACGCTCGCGTAAACGTAGTAATAGGTAACCACTTCTCTCCAACCTTGCCCGATACCGATGAGTTAGCAACCCTGTTCCGTGGGATATGGCGTGAAAAATCAATAGTGCGCGCGTCAGTGTACACCGTACGTTCGTATGGTCGCTCTCGTATTTTAGCCCCTGATTGGAAAATTACGCGAACGAACTGCAGCGGATTCTTTACCTGTGCCGTATACAGCACCCTACCCATGAAATCCCTTATGAATTGTAAGCGTTATGCAAACGGCAAATATTTATCAAGACATTTACAGATAGAGGTAGTGTCGTCTATTACCACGCAATAAAGTGGAAGGTGAGTTTTCTGTTTACACCTATGCACATGCATCATATACGTCGCAAATCCGGTGTTCACGAAGCGTATTGTTGCGATTACCAATCCAGTCGTTGTGATAAATGTCGATAAAGAATAATGTCGATTTTAAAACGATGAATATTCAACGTATTAAAAATGTATACATGTATCGAAAAAGCATACATGTGTATCTTCTTCTTTTTGTTGAATTGTTTTTTTTTCTTTCATTATGGAGAAGAAAGTATGGTAATATGAAACCCCACTTTGTTTTTAGGCGATTTCTTGTAAACTACAAGCTCAATTCTTTCGTTTCTGATATGCTTAGGTTCCTTATTCTATTGGCAATCCATTTTTAACATTCGATTTATAATTCTCTACTTACAAGAAAAGATTATCGAAAAATGAGCATTAAGTCATAAGTCGCATCGTAATATGCTGGTAATATGAACCCCACTATTTTTTTGGATGCGTAAAATAAAAAAATTCACAAAACGCTTTTCAAAAAAGTAATGTATTTAAGAAAGTTATTGTAAAAGAAATACATATTAAAAAATCAAAACAAATTATATAATAAAAAAATAATTTAAAGAGAAAATTCATTTTCTTTCGTCTATCGATATAAATCACACATGTATTCTTCTTTCTCTGCTCTTGCACATTCATTGTGAGTCCAGAAAGTACATTGAATCCACAGACATTGACCTAGCACCTTGGAGGTCCATAATACAAACTACAAACGTTTACCATCTTGAAAAACAATAGCAATTAGTGCAGTTACAGCAAAATGAAAAGAACTAAATATTCTTAAACACGTGGAAATGTTAGATAACATCATACTTTAAATGTCTGACTATAAACGTTAGCTGTTAATCACATATATAGTTACAAATAAACAAAGTTTTACCTACCTTTTAAACGTTCGGAAATCAACAAAAAAGAAATATGTTTTTTACTTTATTATTATTGCCAACTAATGAATCTGTCATTCTTACGGCCCAAAGGACAACTTAATAAACAAGTTTCAGCTGTCACTTATAGAGTGGAACTCAAAGTTTTTAAGATATTTGAGGGGTTCCATTATCAGCAAGATTTCATATTATCACCTTCTCCTCTATTGTGCAAACATAATTAAATAAAATTTACCCTCATTCTTTTTCACTAGATAAAGAACTTTGAAGGTAAAACGCGATATTTCATCCGTTTAGGCGATTAGGTATATATATACCTCCAGTTCATATAATAAAGTGTTCTCGATATAAACGTTAATGTAAAACGGAAACTATACGATCTTTTTCACGCCTGCCGATGACACATAAATTGCTGTACCTAAAACTTTTTTCTTCTTTTTAAATGTTTTCGTGATATATTCTTGAAGAATTATATACGTTCCATCAACATCTAGAAATAGTTCTATGGAATTTTATACAGCATTTTCTTACAACCAATATATTGAATTTATTATATAGTTATAATTAATTATTATAGGTGTTATTATTATATATAGGTATAATTAATTTTATATAATTTATATATAATTTTTCCAAAGTTTTAAAAAAAAATTGTACTTCCCTGGTGAAAAAATTTCTCACATTCTTCTCATATTTTCTCATATTTCTCATATTTTCTCAGAAATTTTGCAAGAATTGGGACTTATGAAAAATTCTGAAAAAATATATAAAATTTCTCAGATACTTTTAGAAATAATTGGATGAAGATTTTTGGAATATTTCAGTATCCGTATGTATGAAAATTTCTGATAATTTGCACAGATTTTCTCATATTTATTCAGATTTATACAAAGATATATTAACGAAAATTATTCTTATTTTATCTGAGTTTTTCTGAAACACGTTCCAATTCATATAAAAAATCTGAAAAATTCTGAATATTCTGAGAAAATCTGAAAATTTTTATAGAAATTCTGAATCTATTTTTTCACCAGGGTCTGAAAAACATGAAAGGAAAAATATATATTAATAAAATTAAAATATAAAGAAATGTGTAGTATATAAAAATCAAATGGTATGTTGTATTATTAAATTTTTTTACTGTGAAATAAAAGAGATATCGCATAATTGGGACAGTTACAGTACAGGATAAGGCGTTCCTGAAGATGATGGACGGAGCCGGATTGGGATACTCATATCACCTCCCATCCGCCGGTTGGAATCTGAAAATCAGAAATGCATTGTCGCAGTTCAGTGATCTTTTTAGCGAATTTAACAAGTATATCGCACCGGCTTATCATCATGACCGCTGCGAAAGGTACGTGGATTTCTCTGGAAGATCATTCAAAAAACAGAGGTAAAGAAAAAGCCGCAAGACTTTAAGTAAAAACTGCTTCATTAAATATTTTATTAAAAGCATCATATCTCAATTCTAATTTGTTTCTTTTTCTTTTATTAATAAATATATAGGAGTCATAAGAAAAAAAGCAAACGGATTTCTTTCAATTAATCTGACATAATATTCATAACATTTATTTTTATATCATAGAATGTTGCTATGCCTTTTTCCGTTACTAATATATTCACTCTGCAATTTGCGTATATATTTGCATATATATATGATAATTGTGTGCGTGCGTGTGTGTTATTAATTTAACTCTCATGTATTTATCATACAGATCTGTACAAATGCGCTTATACTCGATGCACAAGAGGGAATTTGTCATGGTGTTTGTTGCTTTTTTTGCGTGTTTCGGATTAGCGATTTTTATTGGCCTGGCCGGTAAGTATCAGCAATCATTTTCTAATTATTTCGAAGTAAAAAAATTCAAATGTCAACAACACTAGTGCTATTAACCTCAAACATATTAAAATATATCATTGCATTAACGCTTTTAAAGGACCACCTATAACGTCGACCAGTGAACAGAAAGCGCATTTAAACGGCAGCGAGATGGCCACTGGTCCATTCATCATGAAGACACCTCTATTGTCTACATATAGCCAGCAATTATGGGTCATTGCTAAGCTATCGACATCGAATAATGACGGTAACGTGCGTCTGTGAAGTTGGCACGACAGTCTATGAATTTAAAAATAGTATATTGGGTAATTATATACAATTTAGGGGCCTCACCTCAAATATCGATGAAATTATGCTCAATCGATGCGTTTTTGCACGAAACGAAAGAATCTGGCAGAAAAAAAGTGTCGCTCTGCCCGCGACGCGAGATATTAAACGTTTAAAGTTGACAGGAATCAGGTTATGATTCCCGTCATACCGACGAGATGTAGCAACACTGAACATGTCCTGCGGCTGCATGCCCATACTCAGTGGCCGCACGCGCATGCAAAAGTGCGCGAATTTGAAACGTATGTATACTTATATAATGCATATCACTTGTTAGCTTTCAATGATGAATATATCTTATATAATGGCTGTGTTCGGGGAACGCACTATTAGCGCTATTGTATCATTCTATCTTTATCGCTCATCAGGTGTAAAATAAGGATAGAATAAACAAATAGCACTAATATAGCGCGCTCCCCGAATCCAGCCTATATATCAAAGTACATGCGTGGGCGGGAGGGCTTTGCTCCCCTGCATCCCTTCCATGCATGTACTTTATAATTTCGCTTTACAACTTAGCATGTATGTACTTTAAGTTGTAAAGCGAGGTCCACGCTGCCTACCGGCGGAGGTGGGTGCAGGAGGGGGGCCGAAGGCCCCCCCCTCCCTCGCACCCACCCCGTCGGTAACCTCACGCATGTAAGCCCCCTTGCACCCCTCCATGCATGTGCTTTATAATTTCGTTTTACAACTTAGCATGTATTGTACATCCTTTATATTGTAAAGCGAGGGCCACGCTGCCTACCGACGGGGTGGGTGTGGGGAAAGGGGGGCCAAAGGCCCCCCTCGC